CTACCCAATGCAATCCTTGATTAGATCTTGGCTGTCTTAGTTCATTTGTGTTGCTATAACAAAATACTTTAGATTGGGTAATTTATAAATAGAAATCCATTTCTCAAGTTTTGGAGGCTGGGAAGTGCAAGATCAAGGTGCCAGCAAATTTTGCATCTGGTAAGGGCTCTCTGCTTCCAGTGGGGCAATCTTGTAGCATTTTCAGGAGACTGAGGGCAAAAAGACACTAATCCAGTAATGTGGGTGAAGCCCTCATGTCCTAATGGCATCCCAAAGGCCCCACCTCTTACTACTATTACATTGAGGATTAAGATTTAACATGAATTTTGCAGGGACACAAACATTCAAATCACAGCCTTAGTTTTTATTAAACAATCATGTTTCTTCCTGTCTGAAAATTTTCAAAATAAAAAGTTGAGGGGGAAGAAAAAGATGTAGCAGTCAACCTCTTCAAACCATAACTCGGGGTTATGGTTTGGTGGTAACCCAGAGGCCAGAGGGAATCACTTCAAAACTCGTGAGAGACCAGGATTATAGCTCTGTGCATTCTTGATAAGACGTTTGGCATGTTGCCTTTTAGAGCTTAAGTCATACTTTCTTAAGAGCTACGATTTTAAACAGAGGAACTTGCGAGTGAAGAGGATGCAGTTCCTGGGTTATGAAACATGTTCTATAGCCGGAAGCTTTAATTACAACTTCTTTGGAGTTCATAGTATATCGTCCTTTTTAATCCCCAATCAGAGGTTTGAGTCATCAAAATAAATCTGCAGGATTTACTCACAGAGTTTATTATTGAGCAGCTCAGCTTCAGTTTCCAGGGATATGATATATGACACCTTCTGCCCTTTGACTGCTGATGTGTCTCCTGATCTCCAAAGCCAAAGCAGAGTCCAAGATTAGGGCAACATCTATTTAAGGGTGTGTTTTTGCAGGTGCTGATTGGCACATGACGACTGAAGGTAGGGATGATTCAATGCTGAGAACAATGTAGAAACTTCACTGGGGAAAGAAAACACTTCTGGTAGGAGAAGTTCAAGTTGACATGCATGTATAATAACTCCATCAATTTCCCCCATGAGGGGGTATACACTAGGACGTGCGTGAGCGCGTGCGGAGCGGGGGATATCTCTGAAAGATGACTTGGAAACCCGACTGCGGTTCTTTGGAGAAGAGGGTTTAAAGGTTTCTGGCCTGCCCGGAAGAGACGCAAGACTGGGATTTCTTCTGGATTTTAGGAAGGATGAGACCAAAGACCGATTAATGCATTCATTCTGATATTGGTGAATTCAAAGTAGCTTCTGGTCAGATCCGCCCCTCCCCCTGATGTTTGCGGCACCAGCACGAAGCAGGATTCCCCAAGCTTCATCACTCGCGGCGATTCGCTGTCCCAGGAAATTCTCCTTTCTCAACTCGGTTTCGGTGTTCCTTACCCGCCACCCCGAGACCTCCTTGGCTGCAGGCATCACCCGCTTCCGGTCTCACTGTCAGCTCGGGCTGCAGCGAGGGGAGAGGGCTTAAGAGCTCGTCAACTCCGGGAAAACTTCGTCGCCAGACAGGACTGGGGTTTTCGGGCTTCCCCAGCCCTCCCACGCCGGGTCACACAGCCAGCATTAAAGTGGCGCGGCAACTATCGCTGCTGTCCGCCAGGCAGGTTCTGAGCTGCAGAGACCCGGGCGACCGGCAGCGCCGCTTCAGCACCGAATGCACCCGGGACGTGGCCGCCGCCATCCAGGGGCTCCTGGCGGGGGACAGCGGGTGCAAGGAGACTTTGCGCCACGATGCTTTGTTTTCCTGCCGCAGGAACGCGAGGCGGTCGCTTTCCAGCAGACTTAACCCGCCCTCAGCAATAGCCATGGAAGTTGCAGCTGCGGCGCAGAGCGAGAGGGGACCCCGTGGCGCGGCATCTTTTTTGGATGTTTCTCCTCCTCACGGGCCACTTCTTTCCTCCTTTGGGTAAGTGGACTCAGTTTCTAAATGGCCAAAGAGTAGAACTGAAGGTGATGGAAGCGAATTAGAGCAGCACAAAGCATTCATGTGCTCATTGCTGGGTTGTCTTGGGAAGGGGTCCAACATCACCCCCACCCCAGGGCGGTCCATCCCAAATATCGCAGTTCAAGGAAGAGTTGCGTTTGATTTTAGGCATGTTGCAGTAGAGGGTGCTGGGGTTTATGTACTTATTTATTTTTGGTGCATTCCCACAAACTTGTCTTTGAAAACATTCCAAGAAGGGAGATTGAAAGTGGAGGATAAGAGGAGGCCCTAGAAGTCAATGGCTGGGACAAGGTAAGAGCGGAGGTACCAGTGATTTAGCAGAAAGATGATCTTAGGGTCAGAGACTAGTCTTTATCCCAGATCAGCAGCTGTAGACACTCATCCTGCTCCCCACCCCAAGAATGTCAATCCCAATCTTCCCCAATCCTTCAGTGACTGCCCTACTGATGCCATTCAGGAAGGTCTTTCATTACCCAGGGGCCAAACATAACTTCTAGTGAGGACCTGCAACCAGGATGTTAAGTAAATAAATGTTTGTTGATTGATACTAAATCTGCATTTTGTGCCACAGAATTTTGCCTTGGACAGTGAACTAATTCCCTGATGTTGACCCAAGTATAGCCCAATTTATTTTGCTAAGAGGAGGGACTGGAGTCTTGGATAACACAACCTTTAGATCTTCATTACCCCCAAATAATCCAGCTGACAGCTTCATAGTCAGATTCCTGGGTCCAGGGACCAGATGAGCTCACAAGGTTCTGGCATAAAAAGTGTGGGCCTTTGGCTCAGGCAAACTTGGGTTTGAATCTCTATGTTGTGACCTTGGAAGGATTTCTTTATCCTCCTGAGTCTTGGTCTTCTCATCTGTTAAAGCAGGAGCTTTCTCAAAGAAATGTAGGGAAGATGAATGGAGAGGAAATAAGAGAAGGCGAAGGAGCATCCAATAATATCAGTCTTGCTTGCCCATCCTTGGAGAATTTAGAAGGGAAGGAATCTTTCTCTGCTGACCTCTCTCTGACTTGGATGGAGGTAAAAACATTGCATTGCAGTCCCTGGGCCTGTAAAGTTATGGAGGAGAGGGCAAAGTGATGCTCCAAGGCCCTTCTTTGAATCAACTTTCTTAGGGCTTAGGAACAGAATTTCCACACATCCTGGTGGGATGAATGGGAAAGGCAGAAATTCTGAATATCTCATTTCCTTTTCTCATCCATGTTCTCTGTCTTCTACTACAGGAGGTAAAGTGTGGAGAAGGTAGCTCCCAGGCACCTGGGTACCTGCCCAAAGGGCTGAGGAGTCAGAGTAGCACCATTGGAATGGTACCATTTTCCCTGTATGTGGTCTGCAGAGAACTCAGGGCTCCAGCTTGGGCTGCCTGTACGGTCAGTGACAAAGCATTTAGCAACTTTCCCATAGACCACGGTGGCCCTTTATGGATCTTGCCCTTGGACTTGGAGACCTGGATGTGTTGGGGAAAGTGGGGGGTGGATGATGGAAAAGGTACTGCTGACACATGGCTCCACAGGGTCTCAAGATGTCCTGTAGTGGCATGCAATTCAGAGAGCAAGTTCTAGTGTAGGGTTTCAGGACCACAGCTGGGTGGTTGGGGGTGGCAGTCACTTTCTCATTTATAAGTAAAGACAACAACAATATAACCTGACCTTCTGGCACCAGATATTCTTTTCCATAAGGCCAGCACCTAGCACTCTGGAGGCTGAAGAGGTGTTCAGTTTATGCATATGTTAAATGAACAATGAATTTTAGTAACCTTAGCTATACCCGGCAGTAATGATGACTTTAACGACTTCTATCAATTTATGCCTTCATTTAGCAAGCATTTCTTGAGCATCTACGATGTGCAGGGCCCCATTACTAAGCATCCTAGGGAATTTTATATTGATACTTCAGAGTGGCCTCTTTGAGAACCTCAGTACTGGCTTTTCTGGAGACTTCAACACAAACCCCTGTGGTTTCTCTCAGGGCTAGAGACTAGGGGTGGGGATAGTGTTCCCGGTTTAGCCACTTTCTGGGAACATGGTTGGGGGTCTCTTTGCACTTCCTAGTCCTGGGTCCCTGGGCTCTCCAGGGCTACTGCTCCCTGGAGCCGCCCGGCCTTGGCAACTCCTCTTTCCTCCAGGGCCACGGCACCTCTCTCCAGCCCTCTCCCCAGCCTCCGAGCGGGAGTCCAAGTAAGTCGTACCGCAGGTAGCTGGGGAAGGGACCGGGCTGCGCCTGGGGAACGAGCTTCCCCGGATGGGGAGATCGCAGCCGACGCCGAGCAGTCCCAGAACAAAAGGCTCATGACTGGCACTGTCCTCCGTGGAGTGCAGTGGGGACGTGGGTTCGGGGCTCAGGCGGGAGAACCAGGAGCGGGAGGGGACTGGAGTGAAAAAATGAAGTGACAAAAGAAGGGGAGGAGGCGCCCAGGGTGGGAGCGGTGAGAAGAGGTGATCCCCGAGGCAGAGGTCTGCGGAGGGGCCGCAGCAGCCCTTCCTCCGCCTCCTGCGGAGCCTTCCAGGCAGCCAAGCGTGTCTCCGGCTGCAACTCCACGGAGCGCGCCGCGGCCGCCTCCGTGCCCGCCGCCGGTCGGCCTTGCCAGTAAGTAGCAGCGCGCCGGCCGCCCGCTCTCGCCCCGCCCGGCTTCCTCGCCCTGCTCCTGCTACCTCCCGCCGCCGAGCGGGCAGGTCCGCCACCGCCCACCGCCTGGGGCCTGGCACCCGGGCTCAGCGCACCTCCCGGCCGGGAGCCTCTGTGCGCCGCGCGCCCTGCGCTCTCCCGCCGCGGCTAGGCATCTGCGGCGCGCCACGGGGAGGGTCGGCTTCGCGGCGCGCTCCCCCGGCGCCGCGCCACCCCTCTGTCCAATGGCTTTCGGGGGGTGGGGAGTGGGGGGCGTCGCCCGGGGGCGAGGAGCGCGGCTGGGGTGGGGCGTGTGAGCTCTGCGCCGCGGAGCTAGGCTGACGTGCCCGCCCGAGCGCGCGTCCGGGAGTGTGTGTGCGAGAGTGTGTGCGAGAGTGTGTACGTACACGCCTTCGGGGGCCGAGTGACACTGCAGTGGGCTTCTCCTTAGCCTCGGCCTTCCGGCTGCTCAGCCCCCAACCTGCCGCACCGCTTTTGGAAAGCAGCTTGGTGGCTCTTCGTCTTCCCGAGCCTTCCTCTCCATCCTTTCATCCACCCCTGGCCAACCTTACTTTTTCTTTTACCCACCCGGCCGCAGCAGACCGTCCCTCAACCGGTGCAGACACCCAAGCCGTCTCCAATTCTTCCCTAAGCCAGTATTTCCCCACCTCTCTCTGGAGCCCCATCCACGAGCCAGTCCAAGGCTCGCTCATCCTTGGAAATTGTTTTGTTGGGCTGCTGTTCCGAGGCGTGTAAAGCTCGAGGGCTTTATTATTATTTTGATTCTTTTCATTTCTTCCCCTTCTGGGCAACGGAGCAATGAAATTTCCAATCGAGACGCCAAGAAAGCAGGTGAACTGGGATCCTAAAGGTTGGTATTTGCTACTTTTGGCCGCCCTTGCCCGGCGTGTGCGCGCTTCCATGAGTGAAAGCACTCTTGCCCCTGGCAGCGTGTGTCCCGAGGCTGGGAAATGCTCCTGGGGACTGCAGCACGGGTGGGAGGAGGGCGGAGGCAGCGTGGGTTCGGAACCCAGATAGCGCCTGTCATTACCACATAATCATTGTCCTTCCTGGATTTTTAAAAAAATCTATTTAAAGATACACCAAACTGACTTCTTGTTTGAAATTTCACCAAGTGTCGATATTTGCTTTTGACTTTGGGTGTGCAAGTGTGTGTGTGTGTGTGTGTGTGTGTCCTTTGTTTCTGGTGATCTTTGTCTCTCTGGCAGATGGGTGGGGTGCTTCTCCTGGACCTGGAGCTGTACAGCAAGCCCTGGGTGTCCTCAGTGGGAAAGGTTTCCTGGCAGCAAGTGAGGCTCTGATCTGTAGCCACTATCCCTGGGGATGGCCTTTCGCACAGGGCAAGCGTAATAATGGAGCCCCTAAGGCCTCTGGAGTCTTCGTTCAATCTTATTACCAAACTAGGCTGCTGGTTTGGCTCAGGTTGGAGTAGAAGCGGGCGGGGGAGTGGTTTTCGAGATGGGTGGGGCTGGCAAGGGCTCTGGGAGGGGTCTCACAGTGTGCCCACTGCAGGCAATGGTGTGGTTCACGTGCTTTTTACAAATGTTTGTCTATGTGCCTTCCCTGCAAAATAGGTAGATTTGTGTGTGCCTAGTGTTGGTCACCGTGACTGAAATTAGCATCCAGATGTTAAGGTTTCTCCTGAGTGATTAATAAGGGAGCGGAACACATTGACAGCACGTGTCCAGTTGTGACCAGAATGCTCTTCAGCGTGTTCTTAGCTCATCTGAAGGCTGAACTGGGCTAGGAGTGGCCTCTGGGTGTGTTTTGGGGATGGAATTTATTTGGTGGGTGGGTGTCGTGTTTAATGTTCTTTATGAGGAGCATTTCTTCTCCAGAATGGAAACAGGAAACCCACTCAATTTGTTAAGTAAATGACTTATGAATTGACAGGTAGTTTAAGACTGAATGGAGAGGTGTTGCCCTTTAAAAACACTGAGTTTTTTAAAAACACCTTAAATACAATCCAGACTTACCTTGTTTTTTTAAATCTCTAGAAATAGGAAAGTGTTTTTTTTTTTTTTTTTAAATTCCTCCAGAGCATATTTATTGAATACCAAGCACAGTCTTAGGCACTGGAGATATAGTCAGAACAGGGCAGACAAAAGACTCTAGCTTCTTGCAGTTTACAGTAAAGGAGACAGATCTAAAGCAATCATTGCTTGGAGAAGTCCATAATTAAAAGTCTATGTATGCACCATGAGCATCAGGATTTTAAGGAAGTGTTTGATAGAAGAGATTGACAAGGACCAATGGAGGCATGTGGCCAGGGAATCCTTCCCTGAGGCAATTACACCTGTGCTGAAACCTGAAGTAGCAGTTAATTGACCAGTGAGAAGGGGAATTTTTTTCAGAAGAGGGAATGGCAAGTGCAAAAGTCCTGGGGCACATGTATTTGAGACCCTCTGAAAAGAGGTTCATGATTGGAGCAGAGAGCAAGGAAGCTTGTATTTTAAGATGTGACAGGGGATGGGGTGGGTGGGTGGTGGTGGATCAAATTCCAAAGCCCTGGTGGTGTTAGAGGTGGAGTAGAATTATGGGGGGGGGAGGAGGAATGCAGTCTTTAAGTACTGAAGAGTGACATGATTTGAACTGAGTTTTAAAATAAAGGTCGTGCAGCTCTCGTGGATCTAGGAGATGAAATGCAATGGTGCATGGAGCCGGGTGGTGGCCATGGGAAAGGAGAAGTGCATAGAGGAGGGAGCTGGAGAACGTGACGTCATCAGGTGTGGAGGTGGAACCCCTGGAGCGACTGGAAGGCAGCCATAGTGGGACCACGGTGGAGAAGGCTCCTGACTTCAGTCTAGGTCTGGTCCAGTGGGAGATGCCCTGGAACCACCAAGGGTGGGCAGTTGTCAGAGTGGAGGTCTCCTCTGGTAGGGAAGGAGCACTGTGGAACTGATTTTGTGAAGCTGGACTTGAATTTTTAAGTTTATTCTAATTAGTTGGCCTTGACTTTTCAAATACATTTCTGTGGGATCATCATTCTACAGATTCATGTCCTGGTGGTAAGTGACATGCGGAGGACCTTTCCACATGTTACAGTGAAGGAAAGAATGGAAGTAGCATCCACAGTTACTAGCGTTGCTGCTAAAAATAAAAAGGCTTCAATAAACAAGCACAGCCTACCAGGTGTTTTATGTACGTTATTTCATAGTTTCAAAATACGGATCTGATATATGTTATCGTCCCATTTGACACTCGATGACCAGCAGGATGACATGAAGCTGCCTTCCACTAAGTGAGGTGCTCGACTTATTTAAGGTTGTTCCTGATGGTAGAGGTGACCATGGTCTTTCCTAGCTAGGGACAGAGGCAGGAGGAGAGTGAGGCTTAAGGACAGCGAATCTTAACTTTCTATGGAATTATGTTCCAGACACTGGACTACTGATTTACATACATTAATTAACTTAATCTTTGCAAAAATCATAGGGGGAAGATATCATCCTAATTTCATAGACGAGAGAACTGAGGAACACAGAGGTGAAGTAACTTGCCCAAGATTGCAAGGTATTGGGACTGGACTGGAATCCAGGCTCTGAAACACACTTTCAGACTGTGTCTTTTAAGTTATTGGGACCTCTGGCTCTTGCCTGGTCCAGGAAAGGAGAAGCTCATTGGGAGAAGGAGGAGGAGGAGGGAGGAGAAGGGGCAGGAGGAAGGGAGGAACGAGTCTTCCAATGAACTAGCTGTCCCTGTAAATTCTTTTCTCCACCAACTTCTCTAGGTAACAGCACCTTCAGTTCTCCATCTTGTGGACCAGTCACTGGCCACCGCGCAGACTTTGGTTAAGTTCTGCAGAGGTTCAGTTTGATATACCAAGTGTGTTTATCAGAGCAATAAAGGGGGATCTAACATACAATAGAAAAGTGAGGCACAGTTCACATTACAGGGTGTTTCGGTCAGATTTTTCACCACTGGGATTAACAGACCCAACCAGAACAATTATAGAGGAGGAAAAATTTATTTTAGGGCTCTCGGTTTCAGAGGTCTTTGTCCATAGACGGCTGGCTCCCTTCCTCTGGCCTCAAGATGAGGCTCAACATCATGGAGGAAGAGTGTGGCAGAGGGAAGCAGCTCACATGTTGATCAGAAAGCAAAGAGAGACACCACTCTTCAGATACAAATATATACCCCGTAGCCACACCCCCAATGAATGGCTTCCTCCAGCCACACCCACCTGCCTCCAGTTAATCCCATCAGGGATGAAATCTCTGATTAGGTTAAGGCTTTAACTCAATTATTTCTCCTCCAAACCTTCTTGCATTGTCTCACAATGTGAGCTTTCGCAGGGACAATGCATCTAAACCGTAACACAGGGACTGTAGGATTGATTGTGGAACCCTCAGGTGGAGATGCTCAGGAGTTATGGAAAGAAATTGTAATTATGATGCTTTGCTCACAGCCCCATTACCTGACAATTTAATATCACCAAATGAAGGTGGTTTGAGAACAGATTGATTTTGATTGCTCTTAGATGAATTAAGCAAAGCACTGTCAAGAGGTGTATGCACGAAAATGAAGCTGAAGTATGAAATGATTAGTCTTTGGTGGGCTGTGTCCTTCCTCCATAGTCACAGAACTGAGCCTTCAACTAAGAGGGGTGCTGTTTGGGGAGAATCCACACAAAGGTAGATTGGCACTAAAGTCTCAGCTTTCAAAGCAGAATTCATATGCATTTTTTGATCACCAGGATCACTTAGTGGTGATTTTCTGTTCAAAATTAGAATTTGTTTGCTGCTTCTCTGTGTTAAGAACTTTTAAAAGCCAAATGAAACCAGTTGCTGTGGGCCCCGGCTGTAATCCCAGCTACTCAGGAGGCTGCGGCAGGTGGATTGCAAGTTTGAGACCAGCCTTGGCAGTTATTGAGTCCCTGTCTCAAAAAGAAAAGAAAAAAGAAAGAAAAAAAGCCAGGTGATCAGCAAACGGCATTCACCTGGATTGAGGCAGACTGATCCGTGTAATATAAAAAAACCTGTGGACTGAGGAGCAAAAGAATTAGGCTCCAGAACCAGCTGGAGTGACAGTTAGCTGTGTGACTTTGGATTTCTCCTGTAGCCTCTCTGGACTTCACTACCTTCCCATGTAGAAAGGGGCCATTGACCTGGCCTTTGTATACCTCTCTGGCTTTATCTGATCTTTGGACCACTCCACTTCCCTTTGTTTCTCAAGTCAGACTCATTTCTGTCTCAGGGCCTTTGCGCTTGCACTTTTTGCTGTCCATAATGAATGTTCACTTGAATGGATGAGGGGTGGATCAGAGAGGATGGAAGGCTCTAAGCATCTGGGAAATTCCAGGTCCCCCTCTCTCTACATGTGACAACGTATAGATAAGGAGAAAGGAAGAATGTCCTCAAATAGTGGGGCATCAGAAAGGCGAAACCACGACACTGGAGCTGGATTTTTAAAAAACACCCTCACTTTTTGTGCCTACTTTTTTTTTTCCCCATGCATACTTTAAAGCAGAATTCCAGACAGGCCCGTGGTGTATGTGAGTAGCACGTTTCAGTTTACAGAACACTCTTCACAAATGATCTCATTTGTTCTTTAAACAAACCTATTTTTGTAGGTATTAGAGTCTCAGATTTACTGATGGGTAGACTAAGATGTAGAAAGGATAAAGGTGCAAACAGGCAGAACCGGGGCTCATCCAGGACTTCCGATGCTCCCATCCAGAGCAGTTTCCCTCCAGTTTTCCCCTCCCCAGGCTCCTCCTTACCCCAACGTGTATCAGAAGTTCCTCAGAGGGATGGAGAGGAACTGGCTCTCTGTTGATCAGGGAGTCCTTGGTTGATGGCTGTGTTTACCAGGCTCCCACAGGCTGACAAGGTCATTACCCCATGAGTCACA